ATCATTCAAAATGGACTAGTATATCAGAAGTTATTTAGCTTTAAAGTTTTTAAAAAATACACTCTACTTATAAATTCTAAAAATCGGCCCATATGATAAAAAAAAAATATTTGTTCAGATGACTTGTGATTTGCTAATTAATTATTCTACTTTAGGGTTAGAATTTAATGTTTGGATTACTATTTATAATAAGAATCAAAAAAAAGTCTATATAAATTATTAAATTAAGTTTGTCTTTTTTGCATTCATACAAGTATGCAAATATAAATATTTATAGTATGATTTTTTTAAAATAAAAAGAAATTCAGAACCTTCTATTATTAATTGCATTTAATGTAACAATTTTATTAATATCTAAAATTAATATAATTTTTTTTTTTTTTTAACTAGGCTATTCACGAAGCTTTTTCAAATTTTTAGCAGCAAAATTTTTTATTTCACTATCTACATCAACTCTAACAGCCCTGTTATTACTACACACACTAACAACTTTTCTAGTAATATTACAGGTTTGTTCTAACTTACATTTTCGCATTTTTTGGTTATTACCAAAATCAAGTGCAACCGCAACTTTATCTCCTGGTTCAAATGTTACTTTTTTTCTATGAACACTTTTGCGAATTACCAGCTTATTTTGATAAGCTTCATCATTTTGCACAACTTCATCATACACACATTTTACTTGCATCACATGAAGTTTATATAAGGCTTCATTATCTTGAGAAGCAGTATTCTCTGGTGAAATGTGCTCCAGTGTTCCCAGTGGAATGGTCTCTGGTGAAATAGTTCCTGGCGAAATGGTCTCTAGCAAAATGGTCACCGGTAGAATATGCTCTGGTGAAATAGTCCCCAGTGTATTGCTCTCCAGTGTATTCGGCATATTGTAAATGGCATATATTTTAAAGCCAAAAAACACCTCATATGGTGATTTTTTATGAGTTTCATGGAGCGTCTTATTATAGGCAATAACAAATTGCAGAAAAACATCAATCCAACAATAACACTAGATTCAGAAATCTCATTCCACATCATTTTTGTTAGATGCCAGCCGAGTGTTTGATTAAATCTCTCAATCTTCTCTTGATTTTGAGGGTGTCTGGCGCAATCGTGAATAAGATTTATTTTAAATAAATTACAGGTTTTTTTAAAAATACTATAAAAACCGATAATTGTTAAATTTTTTAAAAGTTAAAAATGATTTGCAAGATTGGACATAAAAATCCATTATATTTTACCTGGTTATGAACTCAGATCTGTTATTTGCTTATAGTTTAGTGGGAGAACCAAAGTTCTTAAAGATGTTTACCAATTCGCCATGAATTATATTTCCTTCCTTGTCTTTAATAAGAATTGCCCAAATGTAATGTGAAAATACATCGATTAAAGTTAGAATATAACTATATCTATTGTTATGCTCAATATATGATAGCAGATCAACCAAATTGATCTGAAGGTGTTCTAATAGGCCACTGGACATAACAGGTACTAAATCAGACTTCTCCTTTATGCTTTCATTTTAGATACAGATTGGGCACTCATTCACATACTTTTCGACTTCATCTTAGATAATACCGATGTGTCATTTATAAATTATTGTATATGTTTTATGATACTCGAAATGGGCAGAGTCAGTGTGGAACTTCTCAAGAAGAAATTCTTTCAACTCAGAATTGTAGATCAGGACAATACTCTTTTTAATAGATGAAGAATTATCATTCGACAGTTGATTAAAAAAAAGATAGCTGGTTTGTTGATCATATACGAAATTCTTGCATCTTCTTTGAAAATTTGATTTTTTCAAAGTACTGTTGTATTTTTCTGCAAAAATTCTATATTCAAGATAGTTAACTATGTTATTAAAGTCTTTGGGCGTATCTGGTACTTTTAGAAGTCTAACCATTTTAAAATATAAATAAATAACAGATCTGAGTTCATAACCAGGTAAAATATAATGGATTTTTATGTCCAATCTTGCAAATCATTTTTAACTT